CACACACACACACACACACACACACACACACACACACACACACACACGCTCACTCACTCACTCTCATTTCCAAACGTGATAATATTCATAACTCGAAGATTAAAGTTAATGTGTAATTCTTACGATTATCTACCTTTGCAGTTTGTTTCGTTATATCAAAAGGTAAATAGAGTCATTATAATTATCGAAATCGTTTGAGTACTTCGTATCGAGAATGTGTTTTTGGCACGCGAGCCAAAGCCGAAACTTATTGATATTGTTGAAACGTCTGAAATAAATCAGCAGCGCAGGGTCATCGATGAGCCGACATACGTGAGCGAAATTATGAACGATCTAATAATAATCGCGCTCTTATCCATATGCCAAGTTGATTTCAATTCAAGGGATCGATCCCATACTACACCCAGGTCTCATCCATTTAGTGAGCGAGGTCAGTGATCATGGTGAACAAAAGTTGGCGAAATATCGTCAAGAGTCAGAAAAGATGTACATGCGTATGTATACCATTAAACTGTTAAAGTGTCTCGATATTCACACTAAACGTACATCTTATCAAGGACTAGATTTTATCAAAATTACTTTTCGCAAAAATGTGTCATGTTTACAATCTGTCACACAAGTGCGTCATCTGCATGTCTGCATATATCTGAAAAAAGATCATTACGTTGGCAAGAGCGGAATTAAACAGGAATTTAATATAGATATATTTTAAATATTATGTGGACGGAGCTCTTGTGCGACAGGTCGTATTATTCGTGAAAAATTACATGTTTCTAGTAGACTCGGCAAGACTTGTCTAAAGAAACATGTACGGTCTAATCTTGGAGAACTTGGCCGAATATATAAGGCAGGTTTATGGCGAGGACAGATGGGAAGAGATCCGCAGGCAGGCGTCCGTGGATCAGCCGAGCTTTAGTGTTCATCAGGTCTATCCGGAAAACTTGATACCGCGATTAGCGAAAAAAGCAATTCAGGTATGTCTGCGTCGCATTATTTTCTTAACCGTCTTTCGAATATACACATAACTGGAATATATTTTATATTTAGGATTTACAAAAAAATTTCACGCTTTTCATAAAGAAAGAAGAGAGGCGAAATATAAAATACTTCATAAGATATGTAGTTTCTAATTTTCGCTTTGTCCTTATATCATTGTATATCCAATCGTTTAATTTGCATATTAATAATGTGTTTGACATAACAACAACAACAACAATAACAACAACAACAACAACAACAAGAAAAACAATAAAAACAATAATAATATTGGCACAAAGACTGAATGGTTAAATATGAATATAGAATATGTAGAATATATCATGTATAGGCAGAGCATTAAATTTTGACGCATTCAAAAGCGGATAAATGGTTTCGTCCATTTACTCGACACAACTGTTAAAAAATTCAAGTATACTTCGTACTCTTACTCTTCAGGTACTCGGCGTAACGGAAAAGGAGTTCTTCGATCAAATGGGTGTGCACTTTGTAGGATTCGTCGGACAGTACGGTTACGATCGCGTACTCTCGGTGCTCGGACGGCACGTGAGAGACTTTCTCAACGGTCTAGACAACCTTCACGAGTACCTCAAGTTTTCTTACCCGAGAATGCGAGCGCCTTCATTCATCTGTGAAAATGAGACTCGCCAAGGTCAGTTACACAATCCACTAATAACCGCTACGTGCGTCCCGAAAAGATTCTGAAAACATTTCGTTCTTCTTTCGCCCTGTATATTACTCACCAACTCACATGTAACGCTTATTATAAATGAGATTTAAGGGGTTACATATATATATACATATATATGTATATACGTTTGTTGACAGGCCTTTTAAAATTAGATCAAAATTAATTTTTATTGTGGCTAAAATTATGTTTTATTAAAAGATGGAAATATATGTCTTGTGGAGTAGTCTTTTGAGAATATTTCCCGAAACGTTTAATAAAAAATATCAAAAATTCTAGTCCTGGCAGCTATTTTCCCGAAACAGTGTTTTAAAAATCGGCACCAGAAATATCTCGGAGACTAATGCGAACCGATTTGCATGAAATTTTTTACAGCTATACTCTCAATACAATAATCTAGTCTAGTGCTTGTCATAGGATTTTTTTTCGATTTATGGCTTGGTTTTTTTTATAAATAAAGGAAAATCGCTGCCACTCGAGCCATTTTATGAAAAATCATCATTTTCAAAATCGGCTATGACAAGCACTAGTTTTATTCGTTTTTTTGTTTCACATGAGAAAGGTCGGCGAAGGAGGTATCTCTCTGGTATCGCAAACGCCGTTTTTACAAACACCGTTCGGGAAAATAGCAGCCAAGACCTCAATTTTTGATATTTTTTACTTAAATTTTCAGGAGATAGACTGCTGCTCTACGCGAGACATGTATTTTCATTTGTTAATAAAATTAAATTTTACCCACAATAAAAATTCGTTAATTTCAACTAGTTTTAAGTCTGTTAAACGTATGTAACGGTCCTTAAAATGAAGAAGAACATTTTAGTCTATATATGCGCTATGTAATATATTTTAGAATCCAAGTTCTAGAAATTGACGAATGCGCAGGACTGACTCTTCACTATCGAAGTAAACGCCGGGGCTTCGTCTACTACACGATGGGCCAAATAAGGGAAGTCGCCCGACACTTTTATCACAAGGAACTGCAGATCGAGCTGGTACGCGAGGAAGTGCTTTTCGACACTGTGCACGTGACCTTTCAACTTACCTTCGACAATCGTGCCTTCACGCTAGCATCGCTCGCGATGACTCGTGAGGAGAAACACCTGCCGATCGGAGCGTGCGTGCTCTTTGAGATATTTCCCTTCTGCATCGTCTTCGGGTGCGTATGCTAAAACGATTGTGCGAAAATGTTGTTAATCAAATTCTCTAGATTCTATATAAATTTGGGTTATATAATTCAGTGATTGACGTACAAGGATCCAAATGAGCAGGAGTAAACAACTTGAAATTCTTAAAAAATTGTGTATCAATATAAAAAACTGTGCGCGTACGCAAGTTCATGCATCTTTGAATAAAAAACACTATCCGATTAATAACCGTTTACATTTCAGATCAGATATGGTTGTTAGGAGCATCGGCAATTCACTAATGGTCATACTGCCAGATCTGGTTGGCAAGAAGATCACGTACTTCTTCGATTTGGTTCGACCACTTATTGCATTTAAATTTCAATCGGTAAATTTTTATAAACGTAAGAGAAAACGTAGCGAAAAGAGACAATCTGGAAAATTCGTCAAGTTCACAATAAGTAGCGACGATCTAAGCCATGTTTCCAAGTATTTGATTTATATGTAGATACATTTAAATATCTCTGAACAAGTTTCCCAAAATTTCCCAAATCTGCTAGGCCGCTGGTATAAGACTTTGAGTTCATTTCCAACTAACTGATTTTGCATAATTTAGATATTGAATAGAACGAACAACATTTTCGAGTTGGTTACTGTCGAGCCAGTGCTTACGGAACGATTGGACGATCGACACAGAAACGAAATTCTCTTGAGCGACGAGCTTGAAACGGTAGAAGATAAGACTTTACGATTAAAGGGTACGCTTGTATATTTATTGATCAGCTTTAAAAGCTTACACTTTTATAGTTGTTGATTACTGATGGTTGCGTAGTCAAAACCAGTAGCTGTGTTACGTGAAATATTAACTTTCTATTCACTGAAATTATCTATATATATAAAAGATTTCTCTTTTTATTAAATACGCAATATAATAAGACTGTCGATACGTGTGCCACAAAAGAAAACGTAGGCGTACGCAATGGTGCAGACGCAAAAGATTTAAGAGATGACGTTGTTAATTGCATTTTTTCAGGTCAAATGATATACATGGACAATTGGAAAATGATGATGTATCTCGGTACACCTGTCATGCCCGATCTGAACGCTTTAATAGCAACGGGCCTTTATATAAATGATCTCTCGATGCACGATTTTAGCCGGTAGATAAAAAAGTCTTTCAGTCGAGGCAATTTCAAGAAGAAAAAAACGTTTATAACCTATACCCTTTATCCGACTAATGTTATCTCATTGTTGGAGAAATATTATACTATTGTAATGTTTGTATTGAAAACTAAACTTGGAAAAATTATACTAGTTTTCATCTCTTTTGTAATCGACTAATATACAATTAAGCTTCGTGTCAAGCGGTCGATCAAACAACTATTAACCTAATGACTTCACACAGAGACCTCATGCTCGCTGGGACTCAACAGTCCGTGGAGTTAAAACTGGCGTTAGATCAAGAACAGCTTAAAAGTAAAAAATTGGAGGAATCTATGAGGAAATTGGATGAAGAAATGAAGCGTACGGATGAATTGTTATATCAGATGATTCCCAAACAGGTTGCGGACCGTTTGAGGAATGGCGAAAGTCCGATTGATACTTGCGAGGTACGACTAATAAGGGTAAAATGAGAACGTAGTCCGTATCCTTTTATTCACCTACATTATTACGTGCTGTTAGCAAGATGGAAAACGTCCTAAAGGATGGAAAAAAATTCCAATTTTTATCGCATTGAATTCGAGCATTATCTAAAATAAAAACAGCAACGACAACAATAATAATAATAACGTCTCTCTTATTTAATAAAAATGAAATTATAATCAAGTGTTTTTTCTCATATTTTATCAGATATACAATATCAGAAACGACCATGCAGTCATACAGTGTTGCGTGCTAAAAATAATTATTAAAGTTTATAGAGACATGATATATCACACACACATATTGTGTTAATAAATAAATACCTCTTTGACAACGAAATTATTGTAAAACTTGATCGTTTCATTTGCTTGCAGATGTTCGATAGTGTGTCGATCCTGTTCTCGGACGTGGTGACTTTTACCGAGATCTGCAGTAGGATCTCACCGATGGAGGTTGTGTCCATGTTAAACGCCATGTACTCATTGTTTGACACTTTGACCGAGAGAAATCGAGTTTACAAGGTATTCTTTATACTTGAGAACTTTTGGTAAAAGGATATCACGTGTGTTATCTCTCGGGAAATTTTGTTTAGTCTCTCGGACTCGACGTTAATTGATTTTCGTATTCGTGCATTTTTATTCATTAATCTGGCAATAAATACCACGTATAGTTTAATTTTTATTGTAATCAAGTTTGACAAGAAAACACGTGTTAAAATACGTGTACCCTTACTTTGACATATTTTTATGTTAAAAAAAATTTTTTATAACAAATCATCACGCGCAGTCCTTTTCATTCAAGGTCGAAACTATCGGTGACGCTTACATGGTAGTCTCTGGTGCGCCGGTAAAAGAAAACGACCATGCAGATCGCGTATGCGATATGGCGCTCGATATGGTCGAAGCGATAACCGATCTCAAGGACCGTTCAACAGGTATATACGTATTATAAAAAAAAAGTGAAAGAACGTGTCACGTCTTTCTTCGTACCTACATTCGGCTTTCGGAGTTTCCCAATCTTTCTCTAAAGCGCGTCTTTCCATCCTCGTGCGTTTTCCGAATTTTTAAAAAATACGTTAGCGATTTACTCTCGATACCAGAGAGCGAGTCTGTAGAGTTTTTGGCCATAAGGTCTTATGACACATTATTACAAAATTATTGCTGTAATTTTCCAAGTCTGAAAATAACGTGAAAAAAATTATTTTAAATACGTCCTTTATGGAGATATAATATCTGTTGAAATTTTAATTTATTTATCTTTAAATATTAATTTCATTATAAGTTTTGTCTAGAAAGTGACAGGAAAAAATTCTCTTATATCTTTTTTATATTCTCTCCTTTACCAACTCACGTTCCGAGGACACTTTTCGTGCATTGCGCAATACATATTTCACTATATATTGTATCAAGTAGCGCGCAGAATTAACATTGCGCTAAAGAAAACTTGATTTTCACACAGGCAACCATCTTCAGATACGTGTTGGCGTTCACAGTGGCGCAGTTGTAGCCGGTATCGTTGGCTTAAAAATGCCACGATACTGCCTCTTCGGTGATTCTGTCAATACAGCAGCCCGCATGGAAGCGACAAGCCAAGCTATGCAGATACATATATCTCAATCTACCCAGGAATTGCTATCGCCGTCGTACAAGGTCAAAGAACGCGGAGAAATCGAGGTGAAGGGAAAGGGTAAGCAGACCATCTTGAATTACGTTTCACATTGTTTTTACGGAGATCTGTCCTGCGATCTGTCTGGTCGTTAATATTTAATTTTAAGGCTTTATCGAGACGTGTGTCGAGGATACGTCTATCGATATTGCAATTCTACCGATATATTGTACCATCAGGCACAATGAAGACCTATTGGTTGGAAAAGCGAGAATGTCGTTCTGTCACGACCAAGGGAATCACTATACAGGAGTCTCATCAATGGCACACTAGGAGCTCCGAGAAAAGGATTTGCTCGGTGGGAGCGATAGGTCTGGTGGACAGGATAAGCCCAGGCATGTTTGACAAACCGACTTCGGGAGACGCCCTGTCGAAACGTAGAGGTTCGTCGAAGATGTCGTCCCCGACGCCACCGGGATCCTCGGGATTTTTCTCCGAGGAAAGAAGGATATATTCGCCTATTACTTTTCAAGATGTCGCGCGACGATCGGTCGCGAATTCCCCGACGAAGAATGTGGAAATACGAGGTGAGATTTTTTTTTTTACTTTTTCTCTTTATATATTTCTTTTGCAATATGCAGCGTGCAAGAGACGCCGCGACGAGACGACGGCACGTACTCCTATAGTACAGGATGCATGAGTGTGCCGTTGATCGTCGATCACACTATCGACGTATCGCTTGGCAAATCGTATTGAAAACTAGCGAGAGTGTACGTCAGTCTCTCGTAAAGAAACCAGAGAGAACACATTTAGGAATAAAATAACAAAACGTTTCTTTTCGCGTGGTTGCAGAATGTCGATCGAATTCTATGGGTGCGGTAAGCATCAAGAACACGTCAGACATGTTCAGTTCTCTCCTGAATGACACGGAGGAGCATTTCCGGCAGCACCGAGACAACTTGTCGCCGCGCGTAGAAAATCAATCGGCGAGTGTGCACATGAAACCGGAAGTGAAGATAAATGCCACTTCATCCTCGTCCTCACAGAGTTCTGAAGACGAGTCGACATTGTCATTAGATCTCACGCTACAGACGCGAAAAAATAACGCGGATGTGAAAGCTGGTAACGATAGTGAGTGCGCGGCGGCGATCAGTAGCGATCTCAGCACGTCTCAGTTGTTGACGCAACAACAAGACCAATGCTGTCCGGGATTTACCATCTCAAAGAGCAGCAAGATGCGCCATCAAGGAAATAGCTGTACCATTGTCTAATATGGGAATTAGAGATTATTGTTGTGACGAGAGAAATGTCGTAGATTTGTCATTTTTTTAGATTTTGACGCTAAAACATTCTATAGCTCCTTAAATTCTTTCCTCCTCCTCTCTCTCCCTCTCCTTCCCTCTTTCCCTCTCCTCCTCCCTTCTCTCTCTCTCTCTCTCTCTCTCTCTCGGTTTTCGTATAATATGAGAAGCAAAAATATTCCATTATAATAATTATATTATTCTCGTTGAAAAAATTCGATTTCTGCACCAGAAGTACGTTTACAAAAAGAGATATCGAAAAATATCTCTTGGGTGATTTCCATTCTATATTATGTGCCAGTATAATAGTGATTTCTCGATAAATTTCAAAGGTGGAATAAGCAGAGAATTAAAGAGATCGAGGTACGCTACCTTACGTCAAATTACGCAATAAGAAAAGTAAATTTTTCGCGATAGCACAACCGCAAGCATATATAGCTGTGTACATTTAATAATTGTATATATATTGCAAAAATAAAATGTTTAAAATTTTTAAGAGTTTATCGACTCTTTTATCGACGAGATTGTATTTTCATTAATCAAACCAAATTGCATTTTTCGCACGAATAATTTTTCGGTAATACTTAAGGAGAGCTAGCTCCCTCCTCACCGAATTGACACCGATTTCGCTAAATTTTCAAAAATAAATCTCGCTTCTCGCTATATAGCGACACTCTTCCGTCTGTTCTTTTTCGAACAACTAGCTGAACTGGTGCATATTGGTGCATAAAGGTGGCCTAGAATTTCTAGCTAGTAACATTTTGGTCTGATTGGCTCATTCAGCTCATTGGCTGGTGGTCAATCGCAGTGGAAAAACTCCAGGCACCGAGGGCTGTGATTGACTGGTGGTCAATCGCAACGTGGTCAAACGGAACGCTCCCTTTTCTTGCGAATAAATTCAAGCACTGAGCGCCACTGAGCGCCACCCAGAGCCTCGCAAATCCTCGTGAAAGTACATACGCCCGAGGCCCGAGGCCCTATCGCCCCTATCGGCCCGATCACCGATGGCGGCGACGGCCCGATGCGTGTGCGTGGCCTGCGTGGGTGGGTAGACTCAGTAGACTGGACTGGACTGGGTAGGGTCGTAGGGTAGTGCCTGTGCGTTTACAAAAATGTGGAAAAAGTACTCGCGAGGAGCGCTTGTGGTGGTTTGCGTTGGCTGATGCCTGATGGTGATGACGAAGAAGCGTGGTATGCGATAGAGCGGGAGAATTGCGCGGAGAATTCAGAAGAATCAGAGTCGGAGAGAGACGATCCGCTCACATAAGTCGCTTGATATACATGTTATAAGTAATCGCAATCGCCACTGTCGACCATGAACGCGTTATATGTACTGTGGACAGCTTTGATGAGTGCGTGCGTCATGCACGCTTTTAATCTCGAACCACGAATACCTGTTGTCAAAAGGGGCCTGCAGGGCTCCTACTTCGGCTACTCCGTAGCCGAGCATATAGAGATCGAGAACCACTCGTCATCCAAATCGACCAGTTGGTGAGTCAATTTATCCTCTACTAGTCTGCTAGTCTACTAGTCTACTTACTCTGTCTCTCGCCGAGCACCTTCCTGTCGTTACGATTGTTAATTTTTATATTTATGTGTGTGTATATAAAGTAACATTATGTGTATAAAGATGCTACTGTAATGGGAAAATATTAGGAGAATAATATGGTGTAATATTTTTTAACAATCTAGTATGAATACAATATATAATACGATACGAGTTAAATTTTTATAAAATCGACGTCCCTTTATTCGATGTCATCGATTGTCTCTTGATCAATTGTTTTTGTTGAAATTGAATAGTATATACATATGACATATAATACAGACTTATAGACGTAGACATGGACTCTACTGCACAGAAGAATATCGCTATAATTGACAGTAAATTACAAAAAGTATAGCCTTATCTGAAACAGTACGAGTAAAAGAATCGCTTCTCTCTTTCTCTCTTGGAAATCTCCTTTTGTCGTTGCAAACTTGAAATCAAGTCAAGTAGAATCTTATTTTTCACCTTTTCACGCTGCTGATGCTGCTGCTCTACTATTTGACCTATGTAACTATGCTTTCTCATTTTCAACAGGATGCTGATCGGTGCACCCTTGGATCAAAATCGACAACCGGGTACAAACAGATCGGGAGCGTTGTGGAAGTGCCCGTTGAGTACATATACGGGAGATTGTACTCAAGTCATCACCGATGGACGGCTGAGTATGTCATGTCTCGCATATTTTGTCAATTCTCTATTTTGTCAATTGTATTGTATCGTGATAACTTTAAAAGATATAGATTTGTAATCCTACCGTAATACATACTTATATTGTTTACACTACTGTAATAAATTTATATGATTAATTTATAGCCCTGTATAAATTAAATTATTCCTACGCTCTCCATCACAAATTCTGTTCAATGTTACGTGTTTTTTGTTTCTGTTCAATGTAAATTCTGTTCAGTTGAATGTTTGAATGTTAAAGTCAGGTCGAGAGCGTGCATCTTTATGTTCTGCATTAAACGTGTCCAACAATGGATGACGTTCTATTTAATCAAATCTATTTATGTATCATTCAATACTTAATTTTATATATATATAGATATATATATATATATATATAATGAGATGCTTTTTTGTTAAATCATGGTTCGGTAAACCAGTGGATGATGGTCTACTGTACAGACCATACGAATACGAATCGTACGATTCAAGTAAGTGTATAAACTTCAGCAGAGTCTTTGCAGAATGACGTGAATGAAGAGTTTGAAGATTTTTACCAGCGGATTGCCATACAACGTGCATATGTCTTTCCTAAAGAAAAAAAAATATTACATATTGAAAGACGAGACAAGCATGCGCGCGGTGAAAAAATTAATCTCTATTATCTATTATATATTAATTCTATTGCATCAAAGCTTGCGCTCTTGTTCGAAACAACATAGAATAGAGAAACGGAATATTTCTTAAGGATGATAATTGACAAAATTAACGATGGCGATGGTGGCGATTGTTTACAGCATTTTTATGTTATACGAATGCAAACTGACATTTCTGCTTTTACTAACATTGTTTTTTGCTAATTATTTTTATTTTTACTTGATGCAACTGTCATGCAGTTTTACTTATTCAGATTCAGTTTATATGCATGGTCAGTACGTGATATAATTAACACAAGAATAATTTGCTATTTATCCAAAAGAATTATAATTAAATGATAATTTAAAATTGCATAATCTAAAGTTATTTACGTATTATTTATTTATCTATCATAGTTTCCTGAATATTGTGGTCACGTAATTTTGCTGCTAAAATTATAAATCTTCTTTTGATTTAATACGTATTGTTACTGTCTTATTACACTATATCATTATTTCAATATTATAATAACAGGTATTTTATTCGTGCGCGCGCGCATACACACACACACACACACAAAATAGTTTTATATTGTATTTTTCTACGGTTACTATTTAATTTATTTGTTTTCCAAATTTATATCTATTTTCAAATTTATTTAACTTGAGAATGTAACTATCATTGAAATGTTAAATATTTATCTGTTACCACAAGCTTACAAATATTTTTGTAATTTGCAATTAAAACATATAAAATTCATAATTTAATTTTTAAAAGCGGATATGACATATCTAATGTTTCCGTAGCTCCACGTTTGTGAAGATTATAATACTTTTTTCAGATTTGGAATCGGATGATTTAGTACCGCCGGGGACTGATGAAATAAAAGATAATCAATGGTTAGGAGTTACTGTACGTAGTCAGGGAGTTGGAGGTAAAGTTATGGTGAGTAAAGAAAGTTATAGACAATCAAAATTAACAATATCGTATAGCACAGATTACCACGTGGTTTCATCTACTCTCACAGGTATGCGCGCATCGCCATATCGTTAAAACAGCTGATTCGCAATGGGGCCAAGGCCAATGTTACATATTATCTCAAGATTTAAAATACGACGATTTGAAAAAGCCATGCTCTGGAAAACCTACCAACAAGTAATATAAACAACGTGCCTATAATACGTTGTAGTTGCCTGAATATTTCATATACTCTTACGACGCTTCTTTAAATTTTAGCTAACAATCTATTTCTTGTAAAATTCGATTTTTCAGAGCCCACGAGCAGTTTGGTTACTGTCAGGCTGGGACTAGCGGTTTATTAACCGCTGAAGATCGTGTAGTGATTGGTACGCCAGGACCACATACTTGGAGAGGGACCCTTTATTTATTCACTATTTCAGATGAATTTTTAACTAGGGACAATACAGTTTACAACGCGCCAATGCAAGATTTTTCACCTGTAAATAAATACAGCTATCTCGGTACGTAATCTTATTAAAATAAAGTTTTTATTTCAGTAAGCTTTATACAAAATATCACAAATATCTTATTATAAATACCGTCTGAGAACTTATTTGTTCTGCATCCAAATTAATCGTTTCCTTTTTTTTCTCTCTCTTTTTTTTCTATTGACGTATTGATTTTTTAGCGGGCAATGTAAGCGTTGTGCCATGCAAACTTTTATTTCATTTACGCTTTACTTTAATCTGCGTACTTATATAGGAATGTCCGTGGCCGTTGGAAACTTCTTTGGCAAGGATTTGGCTTATGCGGCGGGTGCACCTCGTTCTAATGGTACGGGCCAAGTAGTTTTGTTCACAAGGCGCGATTTTAAGTCGGACATGGACGTTGCCCTCGTTCTAGACGGCGAACAATTTGCCTCGAGCTATGGATACGAAATCACATCGGCAGATGTAAATGGAGACAAGTAAGACAACATTTAATATATATTTTATTGACATTTGTTACACTCAGAGAAAAAATTTGTACCAGCAACTAGAATTTTTTTT